CTGTGGACGTATTCGAAATGTTTTGTGAAAAAGCGGTAGTTTTCACAGCTGGAAATATTCGACAAAATTTACAAAGTTTTTTCGTTTACGCTACTAACCGAGAGGATCAGTACAGCTCCAGTGACTTTTGAAACTTATCGTGTTCTTCCTCATTAGTTGAATCAAATTCACTTCATTATGTATTTGAACAAAACAAATTAGAGAGACAACCCGATAGTCCCATGATTGATGACTACTTATTCATCGGAAACTCAAACTTTTTCTCAAAACTTGTCTTTTGTTGGAACTCAAGCATAACAAATGTTGACGGCTGATCTGTTGGCCTTATGAGCTCTTTTATATACTTCATATCCGCTTCAGGAAGCCCTTGTACATTGGACTTTTCTGACTGAATACCTGTTAGATTTCTCAACTGTTGTTCTTAACTTTGACATTAGCCCACAATACTATTATAGCCCCGAGATCGATAATTTGTGAGGGGTAGTGCAGTCTGAAGTAAAACAGCTACAGCTGCTTTCATAGTCCACGACTAGTCGCGCGACTGGTCGCTCGACCGGTCGCTCGACTGGTTGCGCAACTGGTCGCTCGACTGATCGCGCGATCTGCACGGGACCGTCTACAGCGGCACCCATAACTAGCGCGGCCTCCTCGACCGATCGAGCGACCCGTGGCGCGATCAGTCGCTCGCGAGATGGGTCCGCGACTGGTCGCTCGCAAAATCGTGGACTATGAAAGATGCCACTACGAAAGCGGATGGTGCCACGTGGCGCACTACCATGTGCGTGGTCGGGAATCGGATCCTGGAATATTACCCACCCACGCCGACCAGGCCTTCTATCTTTTCGAGTTTAGTCTATTGGTACCAGATTTGTCTGGGAAGATAAAACAGTGACTTCAACGTCGTCTGGCCACCGTAAGTCATTGTATAATACAACTTGGGACCATAAACGCGTTCACACTGCCGCTACGTATTTGAATGGAAGTCGAACGCCGTAGCGCATCCTAAAAAGGTGGATTGATCAATGACGGAAGATTACCGAAGCTCCTAATAGCTCGTTCTACGATTTTACTTCTTCTCGTATGGAATGAAGTTTGGGTAGCGCCAAGTGTATCCACTCCTACTCATGGACGGTCTGAACATCTTATGCATGGCAGATCAGTCAGACTGAGGCTGATTAAACGTTCCGCTTAAGGGCTCTGGTAGATAGTCCCAGTCTCGTCCGTAAAACAGCGAGGACCAAGAATGGTTGACCTTTTATTGCCCAACTGAGGAGAGAGTACGCACTTGGTGCTTAAGTAGGTAGATAGATAAATGAATAATCAATTGATGTATAAGTAAGTATTCTTTACCCAGTTGCGACATTTTTAATTCTAATCCTCAAAGTTTTTCATTCAACGTCGATAGCTAGTCACCTTCGCTATATTTCGGCTGCTCTCTTTCAGCCGAATCCAAATTGCTAGCATACGTCGCCCTCCATTGTAACAGATGCGACATTCCTGTATTTGGTTGCTTATTTGCCCTCTCTTGAGGGAAGTTTTAGAAAAATTCTCAATCGTGACTAGACCTTCCAAAGAGTGATGGCTTATACGACTCATGCCAGCACTACCACTACTCAAGACCTGCGACAAGGGAATGCTTGTCATTTTGATGGGCCTTTACCTGAGCTCCTCATTTTTCTCGTCCTCTCCCACTGCGATTCAATTCAGATCAACGACACTTTAACCTTTCCTTCAATGCCACTGTTGTCCTTTTCGTCCTGGTGCATTAGCCATGGAGTCTTCTTACCAAGAGCTGCGATTCTGGTCAAATGTGTCCGCTTTGATGATAGTGCACGATTTTGAGGGAACGGAAGTTCCAAAGCCGAAATAAGCTAGTGAAAAAACGCTCCAACTTATTCACTTCACATTTCGACTTCTCATTAATCGTATTCTTCTCAGTTCTTACAAATCCTCCTAGCTTGAACTTTCTATGGCAAAAATATGGCTTTCTCTACTAACTTAGTCTGGCTTCCGCAGACTTAATTCCCTTGAAAGGCGTTGAAGATTTGGCAATCCCTTCCTGGCAGCATGAGGAAGTACCCACGGCAGGTTTAGCGTGACGATAAACTCATCCAGATTTCCTTGCTGATTTTCCTTTACCCCACTCGAATACTGGAATAAATAATGACCAAGGAGGTGAAGGTGCTCACCAGAGAGATGGGATGGGCCATAGCCTGTTTTTTAGCCATTTCAGCATAAACAGACATTGTCATTTTGTCAGTGAAGTCAGTGTCCAAAAGTAGACACTGACTTCACTGACAAAATGGAGTCTTCAGCTTCCGCTATTGGCACTCCCCTACCGTACGATTTGCAAAATCTTTTCGGGGCCGAAAACACTATGAGAACACCCAAAGTTGCCTTCGTTTCAGAAGATACAGTAGCAGTGAAAAGCAGCGTTCTCCTTTTTATAGGACACTCCCCTCCTACCGAATTGGTTCATAGACTAGGTATAAGCGGGAAAGGGCCTAGTTCGTTATCTATCCGGGCAAGAATGATTCTAGTGACTCGAATGCTTGCTTAAGCTCAAGAGTATCATAACGGGCTTCCCTTAAAATTGCTCACCCAATATCCCAGCTTCTCATTGAAATTAGTTCCCAGTAAGGTATGCTTTTTGCCCATTTATCACAGAAACCATGCACTTATCACCTGCTACATATAAAGGGCTGCGGAGACATTACAGCACTAGGCTGTTTGTGGTTTTATAACCAGGACATTGGAGTCCTGTTCTCCTCGATCTCCAGCTACAGCTTCATGTACTGAACCTTCAACTAGAATAACTACATTCAGCCGGTATTCACTATATCCCTGAATAAAACAGTACGAACGGAAGGTTCCTGCTGTTCGACATGGTAAATATTTTATTGATGGTTCGAACACTAATAGAGGAGAAACTGGGGTTGATCAATGTAGCATTGAACAATGATGTACTGAGTTGCTACACTGGGGATGTCGTTTTTTTTGGTGAAATATTGAGTTATTTGGAAGGTACGCCGTCATTGAAGCTTGAGATGATTTTCAGCTTTCAGGAATGGGGCGTCAACTAGACAAAATCATCCGAATATTCGGATTTCTCAATCATTATTCCATTTTGAAAGAAAACGATTTCCACGTTCACCTAGGATCACTCAATAGGCTCTGCTATTTTCTTTCGGAATTGATTTCTCGTTAGGAACTGAAGTCGTAGGCACTTATGCATATCAGTTTTCTCCCTAACTTCTTTATTTCGGCACCTCTTCAAACATTATTACTGACCTACTAGTATCGCTTCTATTTGGAATGGATTAGGTCGAATCGGATTTCTCAATCATTATTCCATTTTGAAAGAAAACGATTTCCACGTTCACCTAGGATCACTCAATAGGCTCTGCTATTTTCTTTCGGAATTGATTTCTCGTTAGGAACTGAAGTCGTAGGCACTTATGCATATCAGTTTTCTCCCTAACTTCTTTATTTCGGCACCTCTTCAAACATTATTACTGACCTACTAGTATCGCTTCTATTTGGAATGGATTAGGTCGAATTTCAGATCCACCTGATAGAATTACCTGTGAAACGGAGACACTACCTCACAACCTTATTAATCCTTATGTAACTTGCGAAGTCAATCAGTGATAACTTCTTCAGTCGCGACTTCTTACCCTACCTCCCACAATTTCCTGATAACTCCACAATGGAGAGCTTGCTATTTGTGACTCAGCCAACAACCTTCAAATTTAAAATGGAAAACTCATTCAAAAAAAAAAGAAAACGCCTAATGGTTCCATGCAATAATGAGATGTTCAGAGGAGACCATGCTAATTGAATGATACATGTCCGTTTGATTTCACGCATGTAATATAGAGATTGAGGCGCAGGCACCGGTTTGGTTGACCTTCGTCGACTCGATCACTAGTTCTCAGGATTAAGTTCTACTCAAACCTCAGTTCTTTTTGAGAAATGCTCCATGTGAAACGATTTCCTCGAGTAGTACACGAAAGAGAGGATTTCAATTCATAGGTAGATAGGGGATCTTCACAGAGAACAGGGTCAATGACATAGTAATTAAAGAAGTAGTGATGCCCATAATCCTTCAAAGAGCCAGTGACCACTAACCACCAGCCAGTGCCTGCTGAGCCTAACTGAGATGGTCTAGTGGCGATTGGCTCGCACACAAGCATAGAAGTAGATTGAATGCTGAATGGATACCTTCCTAGGCCATCGAAATTTTCTAACATTTTTGAATGAACAATCGCTACTGAACTAGCCTGGGAGGGTAGAACGACTGATTCTGACCAAACCATACCGCCTATATTTTTGAACAAAAGCCGAACGCTGGAGCACGTCTTCAAAAAACTGATTGGCCAGACTTCATGCGTCACCTACGGAGCGAACAGCACAAGATAGGTCAGCCCAAATGCGAACAATAAAAAATGCGGTACATTTTTTTTTTGGTAGGAATGACGCGAAGCTGAATCAGGGTAGCGCCAAAGCTCGGAAGCCATTCCGATGCATTTCCATTAAGGGATGAACTACCGCGTTCCATTTTCTAAATGTAGTCATTCCGGATCCTCAGTTCTCCAAAATGGGCTGCTAATACACGGCAACCCCTGCTTTGCTCGATTCGCTATGGGAACGAATATCACCGGGCATGGTAACGGACCTCTATGATCTAAGGGGAAAAGCTAGGGATTTTCGCGTAACCCCTAGTCTACAGGGTATTCCAATGAAACAATGACCATCTTTAATTCAAATATAGCTCCTCGTTAATTCCGGCTACTACCATTCACTGCAATTGACTATATACAGCTAATAATTTTCTATTTTTTTGTAAATTTTAGTTCATGTTCCAATTATGTTGTATAATATTTAATTTTTCACATATGCAACCTTCCACTCTCATTTCCTTGGGCAGGCCACTTCCCCGTAGCTCTTCATTCCTTACTCCAATCGAATATTTCCACTGAAAATGCTTCTTTGTGCAGGAAGAATCCTATACATGAACCTTTACCCAAGCCAGAGCTAAATCATGTAAGTATTTACTTATTTCTTTGAAAAAAAAGTTCAAAAAATCATCATAAAAGCAAAAGTCAGTAGCTCACCATCCCATGATTTCTTTATGATAATAAAAGAAAAATTTAAATTCATAAATTCATTTTCATAGATATGAGTAAGGTGTACTTACAGAACCATGACGTTTCTTCATAGATTTCTGGCCATTCACTAGAATCATTTCCTGCAATGCGCCTACATGATAAGCTCGTGACTTTTTGCATTGTACTTGTACCACCTGCCCCATAAACCAATTTATCCTTTTTTCCCTAATTACATACAAATCATAAGTACACCTGCACGAACACGACATGTATCATAATGAAAATAAAATGGAAAATTTGCCAAAAAAGTGAAATCATAATATGTAAATCATATTTGAAGTTCCGTTTGCTCAAAACGAAGTTTTATTGAGGGGAATGTAATTGAAAATGGTCATTCTGTATGGCATGATGGAATTTGTTCCCATGGGTTTGAGAAAAAACCGTTCTGGATGGATTGTGTCCAACGACCCCAGAGCCATGCATGGCTTGCCAAGGTGGCTCGTTTTAGTCCAGTGTATTCGCATGCAGAACGCTGTCGCTCCCTGAATTCATCATCAATAACTCCATGACATCTGCTCTATCCCTTTTTTCTGATTTTCTCATTAATTTGACTTGGACTCGACTTTTGTCTCATATTATGGACCACTTCTTCAGAAGCTAGCGGACGACGTTAAATAAATTAATAGATGGCTATCGATTGGTATTCCAAAAAGTACGATGATGACCACGACGATGGGACGATGGGATGATCCTTTCACGAGTTCTTTATTGAAGAAGATAGGAATTGGAGTTGGCACTACGCCTCCCCACCACCGAGAGAAATTCCACAGCATCCTCTATCCCAGCTAGCACGGTTTCGATGAAGTTTCTTTGGGGGATTGATTTTTTAAAAAGCTCTCTACTGCTGCTTTCAGCTATTGTTCATGTGCCGATAATTGAGGACAAATCTCGTCGTTTTGACTATTGTTTGGACATAGCCCATGAGTGCTTCCATGGGCCCCCTTCAGCGTAGTTTTCAAGTTTCGTCTCCTCTAACGCTTTTCAAGCACAATGTCTGCCCTAGAGAACAACACACAGTCTGATGAATCCAGTACTCATAAAACTGCGTGCCGTTCTTTCTCTACCTTCCTTTGTCTAGATAGTGATACTTCGTAGAATGGTCCTATATCCTCTTCCAATATTTTCCATTTGCTCTTCCGTTGTTTCATAGGTTCTAAACTGGTAACTATGGCGTTTACCACCATCACTTTGGCCTTTCTGTAGAATTATCTTCAGTCGTTTTCATCCGGCTTCAGTCATCAAGCAAATGAATCTCTCTAGTGGACGTGACTGAAGGGACTGATGAGAAAATGTTGAAAGTCCCGAAGAAGTATTTTATGATTATTCATCAATAGGGGCCCTGAGTTCTGGCCAGAAATGCCAGAGATTTTTGCAAATCTCGGGCTTGATTAACCTATTCAGTGACCCACCTTCGATTTTGGAAAAAGTCGTTGGTTCAGCGCGTTCTGAAATTTCAGCGAGTCACTCAAAGTGAGTTCTATGCCGTTGCCCAAATCCGTCGAGTGACAGAGTTGACCACGGGCTAGGGCTAATTCCCCAGAGCCATCGAGAACTAGATTTCTTGGTATTGTGTGCCTTGGTACTTTTTAAGGGCCGATTCGTAAGGGCGTTCCTGCTATTAGGTCTGCTCTCAGTTAGACGATTGTATCGAAACAGTGTAGCTTTAATGATGAATTTTCTTTACACTTTAGGTTAATTTCAACTCTGCGAATTGAAATTTAATTGGAAAGCCTGAAAATTTCCGAGAAGTCGATTGGACCATCTTATTTTGATTTCATTTCAGTCTTGGATGGATACCGAGCATCGGGTCATCTTGAACGTCGGCGGCATACGACACGAGACCTATACACATGTATTGAAAAAGATTCCAGCCACAAGACTATCTAGGTAAGCGACATCTTGTAAACTCGGTCATAGTTATCTACTAGCGATCACTGCTCTCAAATTCGTCAAATGCCGTCATAGAGATCGTCTTCAGCGGCTTGCTGTCTGACGGCTTTTAGTTACACACCCTAAAATTAGAATTACATTAGCTGTGCATGTCATGATGACATCACTATCCTTTGCAGCTAATCCGAGCATTTCTATAAAAAATTTCAATTTCAGGTTAACGCCAAATCTTGCCAATTATGATCCAGTATTGAATGAGTACTTCTTTGATCGACATCCCGGAGTATTTTCTATGATTCTGAATTATTACAGAACAGGTAGGAACCAACGGAGACAAGGCTTAGAGCTTTATCATCGTTTTGTCACTTTTTCAATGATTGTTATAATTTGGTGAGCTGGGTCTTCGCACTACGCCAGCACAAATGAAACATTTTGTGCACATTAAAGAATCGAGGATAAGGTCTCTAGCTTACCATTAGATCAATCCCATCCGAGGGATGCGCCACCGCACTCGACTTCCATTCAGAATCGTAGTTCCGTAACGAGTGCGTATGTGGCCTATACAATGACTTGCGGTGGCCAGCCGATGTACGAATCAGTGCTTTTATACTCCTGTACGAGTCTGGAACCATTTAAATCAGCCAACCTCGGAAAGATGAAAGACTTGGTTGGCCTAGGAGGATATCGGTGCACACTTTGAACCAGTGACCATGACCGTGTCATAGTGCGCCATCACCTGCCACTTCACCACCTCCACCCTTTTGTGCAGATTACAAAGTGAAAATGAGATATGAGTCATGAAGTTTATTGACGCTGCTCTGAACGGCTTTTAGTGTTCCCTTTACGGAGCTGAGACAGTAAGGTTGACTACAATTAGGCTATTCTCCAGCCATAGTCATCTTGGTCGAAAAGCGCCGTACATCATGTCGGCGCACTTCGAGTTCCCTTGAAAAACGGCTCCATCAAAATCCGCCTTTCTCCAGCGCATCTCACTTTTAATCCTATTCATTGTTCTCCGAAGCTTTCCACAGCCAGGAGTAACCTATTCCAAAATAGGCCTTACTCGCTTGACAGCAAATCGGAACTCGCCTTTGAATTGTCCACAGATTTAGACGAAAAAAAATGATAGGCAAATCGTCATCAAGGAAAAGCTACCGCAGCATGGAACTCAGTTTTGATGTGGCTCGCAGAAATTATTTTCGCATTAGAGCTTCTTACGATATTCTGAGAAAGTGCACGAACATCCCATTGAACGAGCCGTTGCACAACAAATTGAATCAAATTACACAAGAACTTTTTTACCATTTTCCAAAACACACACGACATCCTCCTGAGATTTAAACGAAACTTCGCCCTCAGAAGCATCACGAAAGAACCATTTTATTTCTTTCAAATCTACCCAAAGTGGCACACTGACTTCCCTAATGGGGTCACATTTGTAAAAAAGCTTGAGTTTATAGGCTAATCTGTTCAGCTTGACTTTAAGGTAAGCTGCATTATCCAACTAATGTATGTGGACCACTGTTCGAGGAAGAATTGGAATTCTGGGGATTAGACGCTAATCAGGTACTATGCCTTCACCTTTTTTTCAAATTCTCTATTGTGATTATTTACCATAAATAGCATTAGATAACAAACAACAATTTGGACCCACAACAATTCTCATGAATACAACAAAGTGAACTACCAAAATTTAGTAAGGGCAGTGCAATTTCAAAATGCACTGCCTTACATGAGAATTGAATGAAGTCGGAACCTTTGAACCCCCCTTGTTCAAAGAAAGTCGACGCCAACGAGGATGTTGCTGCAGAAATTCTTCTTTTACTTGATTTTTGAACTGTTCTGCTCTGTTCAGAATTCATTTTTTGAAAAATTTCTCTCTAGCGGATAATTCTTTGGGTTTTCTCTCTTTGAGCCAATTTTACGCTTATTTAGGTTGAGCCATGCTGTTGGATGACTTACACTCAACACAGGTATAACTGCCAATCTTTCAGAGCCTGCTTTTGCGTTATTGATTGTTTTGTAAATATTTTACGAATTTTTTGAACTACTCACCCAATCAATTCTCTTTTAGGGACACCCAGGACACCTTGGCTGTCATAGAGTCGTTAGATCTTGACGGTGATCCTCCCACTCAAGAAGAGGTACGCTGTACTTTGCGACATTTTCTTTTATTCCCGCTCACTATTAGACTATCCCCTAAGTGCCCCGTCGCAATTATTCTGGGTGATAATCGCTATTATTTTTGGAATACTTACTTTGATTCGGACTTGTTTATGATTCTTTCTTTGGATTTCATTTGAATGAACTGCATAACGACAAGCAAAAAGGTGACCTCTACCTTACCTAGAAATGGGCCGTGAGTAATCCGATCAAAAAAAAAAGGGGGGGGGGGNGGGGGGGCGGTAACTGATCAAATTAGTGGTAGGCTGAACTGCCCTGAAGGCTACGGAAGAATGCGGGGTGGGCCAGGAGCAACTCCTAAATGTCCCCTTACCACACGCTCGATATTCACGGGAAGGATTGGCAGTCAGGGAAGTGCCATCTCTCGTCACCTACCTGTCGCCTGAATGAATTATGCCTGAGTCAGCTGAGCTAGTCACCCATACCCATTCATCTAAGTCTTATGAAGCTGATCAAGAAGCTGGGCGACCTGATCCCCTAGGCCACCTCCTTCGCTGATTCCACTGGAACATTCTTAATCTCGCAATCCTGCACCCTCCCGTTTTGTGTCCGAAGGGAAATTTTGGTTTTCTTTTTCATTGTCACTCTTCTTTGCACGAACTTATCTGCATTTCAGATTGCAAAAAAGTTTGGCTGGGAAGATGATTATTATTCCGGTACGCTATCGAAATGGCAGCAAATCAAGCCAAGGATATGGGCGTTATTCGATGAGCCATGGAGTTCACAGTATGCTAGGGTAAAACATTCTTCAACATTTCACAGTAATAATTGATAAAAATGATACCATTATTTCTTTTGGGATTTCACCGATTTTTTTNACGGTTTTATATGATACTCCAATAGCTCACTTCTCCTCTATCTCTCCATCACGCTAATGGCTCCTCACCGTTTTATTTGTTGCATTCAACAGTCTTTGACCTCAGTCGCATGTGCATGCGCCTTAATTGTAAGCTTTATGTGTAGAGATCTATGTTTTATGTTTATTAAACCCCTTTGGGTAAAAGTCTATGTCAAGTCCAAGTTCAAGGTAGAGCCTAGCAACTCTTCCAGTTCTGTTACATAGGCACTCGCTTCGCAAGCCTTTTTTCACACGATTGTTCGCAGATCAGGGATGTGTGGAGATCGGTTCAGGAAGTTTGAAATTATCTTTGTCCCCAAGACATTTCATTATTTGGAGACAACCTCTACATTGACCTTTCCGTAACTGGATCACTCTTCACCGTGTACAGCTCATCCCTGATTTGCACTCGTTTCTTTGAATATTCTGAGTTTAAAGCGAGTCATTGTCTCTCGGTGTGTCACTCCTATGATCGAACTCTCGTTCATTTGCGATTTTTATTTGCAGATTATCTCATGCTGCTCGGTATTCTTCATTCTTGCCTCGACGATATCATTTATGCTCAAGACACATCCATCATTTCAAATTCCTCAAATCACAGGTGAGTATGCCTTGGAAGTTATAGTAAATGAAGACTGTAGTTGGCCAAACGGATGGGTCGAAGTGACTAGAGGAACATCTCTTGAAAAATAAAGCCTGGCAGTTTCGGAGTTACCATTTAAATAAAAAGCAGCAGGTTAGAAAGTGGGTGATCTGCGGAAATTCAGGAGTTGAGTGATTCCGAGATAAATACAGACGTTACATTGTGCCATTTGTGTACAATATCCTAAAGTACGTGGCTGATGGTTAGTGAGTGGAGGTGGTGCAGTGGCAAGTAGCGCACTACGTCGCAACGCACGGTCAGGGGTTCGAATCCCGGACCGACATCTGCCTAGGCCAACCTAGCCTTCCGTCCCTCCGCGGTCGGTCAATTTGTACCACACTCGTCTGGGAAAGCACTGACGTGTACATCAGCTGGCCACCACAAGTCATTGTATAGGTCACATACAAACTCATTGTGCACTACGCTGCTGAATTGAAGCCGAGTGCGGGGCACATCCCACAGATGCGATTGATTATCGCCAAAAGGCAAGAAATAAAGACAAGACGTGGCTGAGTTACGAACTAGAGATGAGTAGGACGAAAACAATGGTTAGTTGTGAAATAAATAAAAATCAGTGAAAGCACTTTTTGGGCATTCATACTGGGTGCCCCAAAATTTGGGCGCCTACTCATAGCAATGTCTTTGAGGCTTCCAAGCTGAGAATGACTGTAGAATCGATAGGCACATTTGCGTACACTATGGACAACGAAAAGCTAAAATTACATTTGAAATTATCATCCAGGGCCAGAGTTTATCCTCGATCTTCCCCATGCTGCACGAACGTATTCATCCTCCATTTCTTCACAGCCAATTCTGCTTACGGCGAGATAGCCATGGATAGGGAGAAATCGTGTCCGAGACTGTGATGCGCTCATCCTCAGCTCATCAATTCAAATGTAAACGAATAAATGTAAATTATAATCACACGGTCCGCATACTGGTGGAACAACAACGACTGTGGTAGGAACAGTCGCATAAGTAAACAAGCTCACCAAGACCTTTTACAGTAACCTACGGCATGCGGATTTTCGAGAGTGATGGTATTGCTAACTTCGCCAAAGCGATCGGAACTCATAAGCCATACACAGCTCCTCACCCTTATTTCTTCTATGTGGATCTCATCTGCAACTCATGGTTTACACTAGAATTGGTGAGTCTCAGGAGTTTTTACTCATTGTCGTTTTCTAGCAAAGTTGAACCAAGGCGTGCTCTCTCGTAAAAGTTCGTGAGGCTGGCTGTTTTCTGACTCTCTGAACTCTGAACGAATTTCCTGACTTCTGATTTTCTGAAAGATTTCTAGCAAAGGAACCTAAGGAGTCAAAATCAGTAAACAGCAGGAAGAGGCTTTCGAATTGTCGCACCCGAAAAATATCTAAGGGAATTCAAAAAGGGAAGGTGGTGTATGAAATTTTGGGTCACAATGTTGCTAAATCTAATAACGTATGATACCATCAGAAAGGCGACAAAGAGCCCTTCTCGTTGTCGTCGCTCAAAGCTTCTATCTTGAAAATTAGGCGTTCTGTGACCTTTATCTCGTACTAGAAACGTCATCAGTAAGTTTAAAGTTGAGCCAATCATTCTTGATGTATCAGTATCCCAACGGAATTTAATTGATAAATATACCACAATCGACCTTCTCTTGATCTTGGCATGGACTTTGACTAATACATATGTATGTTTATTGCGGCCTCTCCAAGATGACAAACTTTATGAGGCTAACGTTTCAGCTAGTTCGCCTTCGTCAAAGCCTGAAAGTCGAATAACCATTGGAATTGTTTCTATAATAGCGCAAGATGAACCAAGAGAGTCCTCTAGAATAGGAGACCTCCTGGACTCATTATACAAGAGGCTTACCTTGATCTAAATCGCCGGAGCGTTAGATCGTCCACCTAGTGTTTACAGTATGCGTACAATGAGCAAGCCCACCTTTTCCTGGCCTAACCGTAATTTTAAAATTCGCAGAGGTCGAGAATGGATGTGAGGTTACCGTTACGGCCACACACTCTTCCTTCCTGCTAATCTGTGGGTCCTAGCTGCAGTCCAACACGCCTGAAGTGCTTTCCGCACAGTGGTCTCCATTTCTAGTGCCAAGGTGGCTGCTGACATTGTGAATTCGTTACCATCATGGCACAAAATTAATTGATAAATGGTTTGTTGAACTACTCGAACCATAGGCTCTTGGAATGAAGGATGAACATCATATGCCTGCTCCTATTCCAATCAGGGAGCGAGTCGTTTAGCAAGTATAGTGATGCCAAAACCATCTGATATAGAAAAACTAGATGAGCATTGTTTTGCTCGAGCCAAAGTTGAAACATTCCTTTCATGAAATGGGAATCAGGAGAGGATCAGTTCGTTCGAATTTCATATTGTCCCCCTTTCTGTTCCTCCTCCTTTAACTACCGCTGTTGTGATCTTTGTCTCGAAATTTTCTGATGGTAATAAAATAAAATTAATTCGTGTGATGGAGAAGAGAGTACGTACAACTCCGACAGCATTTCCTTCTCTATACAGCAACCGTAATTCGGAGTTGAAATGATATTACTGTCACCAAGGTGCTTTCGGTGGAAACCCGATACACCTTCAGCCTCAAACTCGGGTAGTCAACAAGAAAATGACGTTGAAAATAGCATTTGGAGTATTATCGATCATCATTGGTACATAAAAATTCAAGTTCTTCAAGAAATTCTGCGAATTCTAATATTCTGAATGAGTGGTTGGTGCAGAATCACCGACTTTCGCATTCAATGGTTTCTCCTAAATCAGGTTGTTCAACCTTCCGTGCCATGCTGGAAACCAATTGCGACACATTCATTCAATCATTTGCGGACTCAATCACAGACTAATGAGAAATAAATTAGAATATTATCATTGAACGCAGGAGGAATATCGTTTACCGTAGAGCAGTCTAATTCGACAGCCGTGTGATGCAATACGAGTAATGCATACAGTCGATCCATACTCTTGCACTAGATGGGGCTCAGACTGTAGACACGATTGGGGCGCGAGTAGTTAGTGGGCGGCTTATTTCTCACCCAAACTCTTACTTCGTCCGCATGCCCATTACCGTAACCAAACGCTGGGAAATCGAATCCTTTCCTAAACTCCGACACACGGCGGCTGCGATGAATGTAGCCTGCTGTTCAAGTGCAAAACCCGCACCCGTAGATAATGGCCACTTGCCCTTAGGACGAGGAATTCACGGGTGCGCTCCGTTGCACGCGTCCGTCGAAACTAGGTCACGCCGCAGCCGTCGCATGCNAATGCAAGTCATTCGCACCACTGACACTTGGTGGTACTGTAATGTCGTCTCGAGGCCTGAGTGGGGTGCGCCGCGCTCGAAGTAGGCGGGATGACCTATTTTCGACGCACGCGCGCAACGGACGTTCACGCGAACGGAAATCACCGTACTAAGAAACGTTAATGGTCTGACTTTGGTTTAAACGGTTATAAATATAATAAAAATAAAATGAATAAGTGTAATCGTGATTCTTCTTGCAATTCTGGAAGTTTTTTAGTGAATTCTTTGTAGTCGCACTCCAGAACACTATGAAAACAGTCCAGGCAAAAGGAATCCCTGAAATTAGGACAAAACGTTGTTTCAGAGCTATTCAGTTCAGTGTCCTTTACAACTCTTAACACTACCTTTTCAGTTGATTCGTCTGCTATTTTGTCCATCAATGCGACGTTTCCTGCGTTCACCGCTGACGGTGATAGACGTCATATCAACGTCGGCATTTTATTTCGAATGGTTGCTACACGCTATTCTTATACAAACTGGTAAGCTTGATGACTGCTCTTATTTTCAACCATTTTTTTAAGTTGCTATGGAAATTCAACGATTTTATGTTCTTGCTGAGTAATCTATTCTTGTAGAAGTTGGTTAATGAACCAGTACAGTAGTTGCGGACTTTAGCAAACGTTCTGTTATGAGGGTTGGACTATTATAAAAATCATCTCAAAAACCTATTTCAGGGTCTCTAGTCACAATTGATTTTCTCTCGATGATATGTGTTTTGCGTTTGTTCAAACTCACACAGCACTTTTCTGGTCTGAAGATACTCATACAGACTTTCAAGGTAACCTCTTAACCTCTACCAGCCCTCAGCTTCAGAATCAAAAAAACATTTTCGATAAATTTCAACAATTACTGAGCTGTCCAAAAAACCTGATTCAAGACATCTGGAAAGGATTATCGCACGAGCATATATGTACTTCTCTTTAAAATTTTGTGATGGTCATCTTTTATGCGATTATGATTGCCCATAATAATAATACGAATATAATAACCCTGTCCAGTGGAAACTTTGCATTCACCTCCAATTAGTAGCCTACACTTTACGAACAATCCATGGTACTGTGGTATTTCTTCAGAAGGTCCTGTTCCCCGAAATGATTAGATTCAAACTAAGCTGTTTTCCAGCGTATAAAACTTTCTTAATAGCTTAATATTTCCAATGTGATAAAAAAACTCAAGCTGTGTATGTATGGGTATGATAATAAAATACTAGAGAGGTGTTAAAACATACTGGCTGTTACTAGTGTTTATTGGCTACTATGTAAGATTTTTTGTGAAAGAAGAACTTTGTTGGAACAGTTTTTGTATCAGTAAGCAGTTGCCTATGATTACTGTGAAGGTTTCTAACTCGTTGAATCAGGCTGGTCCTAAGAAGTCAGAGACGAAGGATGAGGTCTGGCTCATTCCTCCATCATTTATAGGCATCAGCAGAAGAGCTGGCATTGTTGGTGTTCTTTGTATTGCTCGCTATTGTGATATTCGCAGCCCTCGTTTACTATGCCGAAAGAAGTCAACCAAATCCAGAAAACCAATTCACCAGTATACCATCCGGATTGTGGTGGTAAGTAGTGAGATTTGGTTTCAAGTTTGTACAGCATATCGTCAACATTGCTCATTGTAGGAGTCTCATCACAATATCAACTGTTGGTTTTGGTGATATGGTGAGTACCTTCTACCATCCACCAGCCATAAAGGCACATTTCATGATGAGATCATTCATGGTTTCACTACTAACGTTGGAGCCTTCAATTCACCGGTTCCATTCCAAAGACCTTTCTCCCCTCTCGTGGTCTCTTTGGATGTCAACGTTTTTTTTTTCGGCAACAAAATTCGCTAAAGCAATTGCCGCAATTTGAGTTACTTGGGCTGTTGTTACAGTAGTCCATGCTTCCAGCGTCGAGATGTTTTATAGAGCTAGAGGAAGCTATTTGAGTATGAGAACGACTGGCTGGCTTTTTGAATCACTTTCACGAAGCGTAGAGAGAAGGGACAAGGAGAGGAATCTATAAATATGCAATACCAAAAACATTCCTCACTAATAAACTAAAATTTTTGGGGCAGAGGATTTTTGGGCGTAGACTTAATTACCAGTGGGAGCTGAGATTCCAGCTGAAGTCATACCACTTTGATACAAATTTCAGGTCCCTCGAACTTATCTCGGTATGGTCGTCGGCTCTTTGTGCGCTCTGATGGGAGTGCTGACAATCGCATTGCCAGTACCCGTCATCGTTTCCAATTTTTCCAACCTCTACTCACATTCTCAAGCTCGTGCCAAGTTACCGAAAAAGCGTCGACGAGTATTGCAGGTACAGTTGGTCGATAGAGTACGGTAACTGATCTAAATAAACTGGGACTGACTGATGCTGTGATTAAGATAAAGTGTGTAATGAAACAGAGTACAACAGCAGAGCAATAGCTTTGTTTATAAACTCCTTTTGAAGCTTTTATGAGCACTTGCAGGTGTTACTAGTGAGCTGTCACTAATGGCAAAGTTGTAGCATAAATTATGTGTATTCGTTCATTTATAATTCAATCTAATTCAGTTGTTTCAGGCTCATGAAGTGAAGCCATCGATGTTGAACGCGAAGCATTCTCATGCAAATAAGCATCGGAAAAAATCCTCGTCATCATATACGGGCAACATGACGCCAATGAACAATCTAGGAAGAAATGGTGGACCTCCGTACGAGTCGCATCACAAGCTGATTACGTAGCATACGAAGCTGCGATCATGCTTGATCGCATCCTCATTAGTCCACAGTTGTTTTAGGGCGAAATTTCAATAGAATAGCAAAGTTCTTTGTTCTTTTTTACCAACTTCATAGAGCAATTGTGAGGCGGTGACGTTCATGACCAACGGTGCTAATTGTCACATGAAATGTGGCTTGCTAAAATACTAATCGGGTCCTAAATTTAATGTTTGTTAAGAACGGGTGTTTAATGTGTCACACATACCTTATCTCCACGTCTCTTCATACTGTTTTCATATCGATCAATATTGATTACTCATGTATGCGATGATTCCTTTGAGCAAGAGCTTTTTCAATGTTTTTATAAATATATTATACATATTGTTTTCCAACAGATTGAATGGTTACGGTGTCAATTGATTTTCTAACAAAATGTATGGATCTTGATAGGCATTCAGGTTGTTGTTACCGTAAGGTAGCGTAGGAGAGCAATGTGTAGACCCAATCATTCCTGATGATCACGAAACGTTCTAAAGTACGGTCATCATTCACTATGTCAACAAGTAAATTAATAAATGTGAAATAAATCGCCCTAATCGATAATCGATTTTCAGAGCCGGTCTCGACAATGACCAGTGGTGAGTTGCATGAAATTGAATGGCAACGAACGGTTTTCTTTGACACCCAGTGGCGTTGACGCTAACATTTCTCACGCTAGATTTCTTCGCGAGCGTCTTGTCGGCTTATTGCCAAAACCGTGAAGAAGTCTTATGTCTCTGACCGTGTACATGTCTGTCGGTGATCGTTGTTTTCTGCTTTTCCTTTGTTGGGTTGAGGTGCCGCGTCTCCATCCCCTGATTTCTACTTGAAATGTCTCTCTTCTACCCTATCTATTCTCTTTCCCATTGCAGTCTGAAACCTATTGTAAAACCGTTACAAATTGATTAGCCTATTAACCATACGAGTATTTACAATAGTTCATATGGAAAAGAAATTTCAAAGATTAATGATCGTAAGAAAAAAGTTGTGGCTTAGAAAAAAACCGAAATCAGATCGGTCGTATACAGTCTGTGGAACGTACTTTTCACACTAGAAATTTAGATTTTATCCAAAGTCATACAACTTTCGGAGGGAAATCCTTTTTTTCTCATTGAAATGATTTATTAATTTGGAATGAACGATTTTCCATTGCAGTTCTACTCAATGATCCTCCATTACGGTATTACGGTAATATTTTTTTGTAGAAATTATCAACAAATCAACTTTCAGACCATTTCATTGATCAACATCTGCTTCGTGGTGCTATCAATCGTATGCTTTTGTTTGAAGACACATCCCTATTTACGGATACCGGACATCGATGTCGGCTCATTGAATGTTACACATCCAAGGACCGTATACGTCGGCAAAACGGCAACCAGGTGATAACGTTGAAGTTACTCCATCCAAATTTTGACATTCAGTTTGTATAGCTAATCTGCTAGTACCTGCACCCTCAAGATCAGAAAGGAAGAAAGTAAGGAGTAAATGAGGAGAAAATCTCTCAATGAGTGTTTTGTCCACTCATTCAGGAAGTTTAAAAGCACAGTTCACGATAACTTCGGGGTGTCTAGTTTTAGAAGAGTAATGGTAAAGTTAATACGGAATAGCGCAAAAATGGCGAAGAAAAGGCGAAAATCGGCGTATTCAAAGAGATATCGGTCATCAAAAAAGTAGAAATGAAAAACGGGAATGTGACGACAGAAGCTGCATGGAAGAGTTGGACGAGCTGTCCAAAAGCGCACGCCACTGCATACAGCTGACTGCAGTGACTGGTTTCGTAATGACGTATGAAAGCAAGCAGTGAGCTGCTTATGTGCAGAATTTGGCCAACCTCTACAGATTTCACATCGCTTAAGAACTACTACAAACACCTCTGCTTTTCTTTGTTTTCTGTGCCACCGATCCACTAACCCAGCTGGAGATCGTGTGCGGCGACCGCGACATGATTTCAGGGATAAGTTATCACATCTATACCCCTCGGGAGACGGGCGTTAGGAACGATTCTGGGTAATCGATTCGCCGCACGCGGCTGTCGCGGAACACTCATTCGCCGTTGGTACAGTTCTAGCGTTCTTCATACAGCTCAATCGATATGCAATCATTATTTTATGCACAATTCTACCATTACTACTTTTGTTCTTGTATTTCTTACCTACTGCTGCATCCTGCTACATTCCTTCGCGCGCGACGCCCCTCTCACCGCGACGCGACCATTTCGTTCCTAACGCACCGCACCCATACCCCTCCCATGCAACGCTTGTCGTCATATTCTCTTCCATCAGCTAATTTTACTGGACTCCTCCCATTCATCAAAAACAAGTCACCTCAAAATTATTGTGAACTGTGCCCTCAATATTTAATGACACTTCACTTCATTTTTTTTGGGAGAAGTGGCTGGCTACGCAACGAATATTTGATTCAGAACTCACAAGGAGTGATTCCCGAGTGATCACCAAAGTTTTTTCGAGCTTTGTATTTTCTTCTGCATTTCTTTACAAGTCATATTTCATAATTTCTATTTTTTCTCAGGCCTCATCCGTCATTTTTCTATGTGGAACTGGTATGCAATATGTGGTTTTCGGGTGAATTTCTCTTACGTATGCTATTCTGCCCTAAAGTTGGCCCATTCCTAAAAACTCCTGTTAATATTATTGATTTCATCGCAACGATATCTTTTTATATCGATTGGGCTCTTGACAGTGCACTGTCGGGAGCGAACAGGTAATGTACTTCCAGTCCACCTGCGTTCGTAACGTCTTGAACTAACTCACAATTGCAGAGATTCCGTCGAATTCTTCTCGATTATTCGAATTCTTCGATTATTTAAATTGACGCAACATTCAGTAGGCTTGAAAATACTTATACAAACGTTTAAGGCATCGGCACAGGTGAGTAGTTCTTTGTTTTATGTAAGTCGGTTTTTCGGTTATTACACCACGAGTGCTATTAGCAAAATTTAATCCCTCTCTTCACCCTGATGTGGGCAAAGGCGTGAGAGGAGTATATAGTTACTATTATAGTTGATTGAGTGCCAAGTCTCTGATGTCTGGGTCATGATTACTACTCGTTAACCTAACTGGACAATGGCTGATCGCCGTTTCCTTTCATCAGCCTTTGAAACTTAAATTTCGCTTACAAATAGCTTCCATACCCTTCGCGTACTGACGTCTTATATTTGCACTGATGCTGCCTTTACGCTGTTGTTCGTGTATAGAAAGCAGTGTATTGTAATAAAAGTGTAGCATATGGCACCTGTTGTGCAAGCGACGACGCCTTGCTCCTCCATGTAGATCGGGTTTGTCGCGCTTAGGAGCGGTGTCGATGTTGGCGTGAAGGTTTGCTTGGAGATTTGGCGCTCGCTTTCACCTCTTTTCCACGATGATATTGACCCTAGTCCCTACGCTATTCCTACACCCAACTATCACGGTTCGCGATCGACGTCCTCCAATACGGCTGAATCTACGCACAGCCCAGCTTCATCAGTCATCCGAATATCGTATTCCACGGCGTGTGCACCGTCTAAGATATTACGCAACGCAATATTTTAAAAGTCCTTCATGTCTACTATAGCTATAAGCAAGCAAAAAAAATAGTAGAGATGCGATCCATGAAAACAAACAATAAAATGCTCCAATAATTAAATGTTACGACAATAACCACAAATCTACGCGTCGGGGGGTTTGAGCCCAGGGCGTTATAGCTTACGGAGGCTGACGTGACCTGGAACCGCTCGACGCCTTCGAGCTTCTTTGCCGTGTCGATATCTGCGTTGTTGATTTCATTGCGTCAACGGTCGACCCCGAGCTCCAATGGCAGGGCGACGGGCAGTGGCAGGTTCGACCATGACAGCGAAGACACATTGACCGATGGTTTAGTTCAAAGCACACGTCAACACTAGCCAACGTGCAGGCGCTGATATGCTGTTTGCGCCGGGACCCCCGTGCCCTACCAGGCGTGGCCCTTCGAGAAGTCGGCCGGGGGACACGGCAACACCGTAATAGTTGTTTTGCACAACTCGAAAAATTTGTCAAGGAGAATCCTATGTAGCCTTTAGAGTCCATTCGGTGCTTTGCTATTATTGAGATGTGATAAAGGAGCAGTCTCAAAAAGCTCCTGTATTGAAGGGCAACGAGCGAGACAGTACGGTGTAAGCGATGCCAAAAGATCCGCAGGGCCGAAAAAGAAAAAAAAAATTGACGGGAGTAGCAAAATCACACTCTCACTTTTGCCGTTGACTAGGTGTGCTAGACACTTTGCTGTGCTTGTTTTTGTCAAGATTCTATCGTTCTTAAGAAGAGATGAAATAATATAAGAAAGACGAGAGATGAAAAAAAACATGGAGGTCATGATTACTTATAAAGATCCTTAAGGGTGCATCATAAACGAATTTTGTCTTCGAGGCTTTATTGCGTTGAGTTGGACAAGAGTAAGGGATGAAACAATAAAGTTCCTTATCGAAGACGTTCACACAATAAAACAACTTACAACCGCCTGGGACACTCAGAGGAGTGGTTGCAGCGGCTTCCTGGCGACAACAGATGCAGTGAATACGAATTCCTCACGGACGGCTCCGGGCAAGCAGCAATGGAGGCGACTCCAGACGAATGCACGGCGGCAGTGACGGACGCAAATGTGATCCCTTCAGACTGTGTTACTCTTTTCCCACACAAACTTGCCGCGCACCCTTGAGTATTAATTTTCGCGATTGTGCACCTAATTCGATACGATCTACGGCACACAAAAATCATTACATAATTAAAGCAGTATGCAATTAATGCAGGGTTAAGGTAACTTTACGTTTTAGTCAAGGTAAGCAATACAATATAATGCCTAGTTTGGTAACTACCTCAACCCGCACATGCTCCCCTCAGAAAAAAGATTTGTTCCCAAATCTAACTAGCTTCCCGCTCAGCCCTGTACCCTATTCCATACTTAGTTCGTCGAGCTTTTACTCTGTCGCTCGCTGAAAACTTCGGAGTTTCCTTTTTTTCCACCGCTTCAAATGGCGCTTGGAAATTCGTCCATCCTTTATCGCCGGCCCTCCTCACGACTGCGTGTGATTCGCCACGGATTACCTCTCGGTCTCGAAGCTTTCGGAATCTCGACGGATTTGAGCTCCACGAACTACTCCGACTCCCAGTCACCCACCTCATGGTCCATTTTCAGCACCAGCGGCTCTGATGTTTTATTTCATACATGCACTTCGGCTATGCCAGTTCTGTGACTGTACATAGACCTGACAGTATCCACTCAGAGCTAGACTTGAGCCCTCGCTTACCAGTTTGTTTTTTCCCTCGATCGCTACTCACTTGAACTCACCAGGGGCTCTTTTTAACTCGTAAACTCTTTTACATATTGTGGCTTTACTTGCACCTCGGACTTCTTGCGAAGGCTTCACCAACGCTTTCTCTGCCGCTTCGCCATTTCCGCAATCTTCGCCTGATCGTCTGACTAACGTATAGTTCAGCGCTTGCAGTGCATTCGTGCCCATAACCAACATATGTCCTTTCTGCACTGGTACATGCAATGACAAGGTTATTTTTGTCCCAATGATATCCTTTAGATTCATTCTTACCACCTTCAAAAATTTCATCCGATTTCCCGACGCATCCAGAATTCTTTTGCGCAGCTCGTTCGGGACATCGGGAATGAACTCAATATATTATTCGGATTTTCACCGTTTTACAAATGTGATTACGCAACACTATTGGGAAATATAATGACAACAAAAATAACATTCCAGCTTCGCAGTAATAAGATGGTACTCCGGTATTTATTTGTACATCGAACATAACAATGCGTTTTGGCATGCTCGCAACGAGGCTACCTAGACATACTCATGCGCTGTGTATCGGCGCTGCTTTACCCAAAGTTCCGCTCAGGTCTGTTATAGAAATCAAGCACAAGAGTTTCCAGGAAGAACGAGTTCTGAGTGGAAAGGCTTCATAATAGAAGAGCAAGCTGGCTACCTGAGAACTGTGATATTTTCCCAGAAATCCACTTCGAAATGGAATTGATGCCGTGTAATCGCAATCACGGAAAAATGGTGAACGTCGCTACTTAAGCGCAAGCTGTCCATCGGCACAATAAGAGCTGCGTCATGGAAGATTTGGAGTAGCTTTGACTTAAAACCAACGGTAATTCGATCTGATCCCTTTCTCCAATAAGATCCTTACAGGCTGCACCTCTTTTCGCTGCTTCGAGTCACTCAGAAAATTAGATAAAGAAATGGTTGAAGATTGCAAAGTGTCGCAGTCATAGCTCCGCCTAAGCAGTTCAAGCGTTTCTCTAGAGAGTTGGAATGGTGCGATTTTGCAGTGCTCCGGCAAATTTGCAACGCTCTCAAAGGAGCAGCTCACAATAATTTTGACTGCGCTTTTGAGAGCACTCGAAGCTGAAAGGAGGAAATGTTGATGTAGAGTAGTTCATCGGTGGCGAAGAAAGCGATGAAATCGTGAAAAAAGGCCTCCGGAAGTTGTGGAAATAGAGGTCATACGAGATTGCCATGATGGAAACGGCATGGAAAAGGTATTCGGACGAGATCCCAGCTATTGTGATTACGCAAAGAGCTGATTATATCAAAACAAAATTGTTTAAAACTGCCTGCAACTGTTGCCATGGCTCATGACCAGTTGTTTGGACTTCAGATGCGGGAGTCCCTTGAGATAGTGCAGCCTCTACGTTCCGTTGAAACTCTTCCGCTGTGTGTGGGGCCTTCACGCGATACAATGTATGGCCCCAATTTTGCCCTATCTAGAACGTTTTTCGACCTGACATCGGTACATATGACATCAGAAGGAGCTTCGAATCCAACATATGGTAAAATCTCACCAGTCAGAGGCAGTTTTCTTTTATGAACTGTGCCTTTAAGCAAATCCGAGGTGATGTTTTCGCTCTGCTAAGTTACCCTCCACACGGCACTTTTGCCCACGAAAAGTAGCACTTTGGTGCGGAAGACTTTTAACAGAATTAGAAAGGGGACGCCCAAGTTCCCTTCTTAAGTAAATGCAACCAGGACTGCTACTTTTTCCGTACCTACAGCATTAGGGAATATAGTTACCTATGCAACTAGGAAAAGGAACAGCGAATCCTTGCTTCAACCATTCGGCTTCAGAGAGTGCGCTGATCTGGGCTTAATTTTGATAGCGCGAAACTGTAGGAGACTCGGTAAGCTCGACATTCGATGTCGAGCAAGATTCGTTAGGACTCACATCCCGATTTTGATTATACTGGTGATTGGTACAGCAAAGCCCCAGGAAAAATCGCCGGCAGGTATAAATGACTTAATATAAAAAATAGTATGAGGATTCTCCGTTAGCAAGTAATCTATTTAAATTTGCCACACTCCGAAAATGCACAGCGAGTATGTACTAATGAAACTTGGAGAATCACCTACGAGATTTATATTGTTGTGATACGCAATGTATATCCCCTACAGGCACAAACATCGCGAATACTGAATTGAAATGTTTCTAACAAATATTTAGTACAGTATAACAAAAAGCATGATATCCAAAAATAAATATTCTGTTTTTCTAGTACCGAGCATCGTCATATTGTTGCCACTATTACTGCTATTTCAGGAGCTCTTTCTGTTGGTGTTCTTTGTTTTACTCGGTATAGTCATATTCGCTGCGCTTGTCTACTATGCTGAACGGGTCGAGGACAACCCTGAAAACCAATTCGATTCGATCCCAGTTGGACTGTGGTGGGCCGTGATCACCATATGTACAATCGGATTTGGCGATTTGGTAAGTGCGCTAACAAAACTTAACTCTAACTTATTCCTCAAGAGAGGTACACAGGTGAGTGACACTGGTTCATTAAATGAGGCTACGCAATACACTATGAATACAATTTCTGAAGGGTGAATGCAAGATAGAACCACGTACTGTCGTCTAAACCTACACCTCGGAAAAATGCTGGGCGAGTAATTGGCAAGCTGCCCACTGTTTGACTTTAGCTCGTTACTAGACCCACCCCATTGACCCTTTACTATTCTAATGTTCTACAAAGTAATTCAAGGAAAATTGACGAAGACGTGTCACTCTATGAATATTTCTTGCTTTGCAATTAGCTTGGCGGTGTTCGGAGTATTAGCAGTAGGGCATGAACTCAGGGAAAATGTATAATCTTGCCACTGTGCGTACTAAATCAATCGTGTGTTATGCGTTTGCTTCAAAGGGAATTACCAAAAAAAAAATAGTTGTACACAACTAATCAGTCAAGTCATTGTTATATTTTAAGCACTATGACAATTCTTCAAAGTACTAATATATAGCCGCAGCGTGCAAGGACTGTATACAGGAGGTTGATTAAATGATATTCAAGTTTCTAGAACGAACAAATGGTCTGTTACATATTGCAGTGGTCTAATCAATCTGAATCAGTCGGGGAGAAGTTCAACAGCCTAAACTGACTTTTCCGCTTCCTTGACCAAGGCCAAATATTCTGCTTAGTACTTTTTCGATTGGGCATAGATCCAGTACGAAGTCTGATAGCACATAATTCCCGTAATGTGACAATAAGGAACAAAACTTAGTTCTTGTTGTGATTGTTGCTGGAGCATGACCCACTACTCCTACCAAACATTGAAAATTTTGGAATTTCTTGTCAATCAGCTGCATGGAACCCCACTCTAATAAATATATAAATCAAAATTTTTTGCCCCTACGTTACGCTCAGCTCGCTTTGCCTTCTCCTTTTCTTACGCTTAACTCGCTGTCATTTCATCTACACTATATCATTATTGGTACAACTTACATTGGTACAACTATGGTTGCTGATTTTTATTAGCATTACTTTTATTAATAGGATGGTAAGATTAACTTCATACATTTTCATGTGTATTCATGAAAGGCACAGTTCACGGCAAAAATTGGTTTCCGAGATTCCCCCACAGGATGAAATTGAGGCCCCCGCGTATACCATATCTTTCACTACTAGGTCGGAAAACGGCCTATTCAGAGAGTTATAAAGGCTCAAAGAATGGCCCGTGTGTATCCTCGGACGAGTTTCACCGGTATTGTAGAGGTTCCCCGATCACAAGGGAACCCATGTCAAAAGTTCAAAAAAATTGTCATGACCCATAGCGACTGTTCAAGACCGTTCTGTTCGGTTCCCGCTGTAGTCAGCTCTTTGTGCAATTGCAGTAAATGAAATCTCGTCCGAATACCCCTTCCATGTTATTTCCGTCATGGAAATCCGTCCAACCTCTATTTTTCCTACTTTTGAGGAGCCATATTTTTGATGAAATCCGCGAATTTTCTCGCTTTTTTCACTACCATGAAATATTCTCAATCTATACTTCCGCTTTTCGAATAAAAATGGGTACCTCAACATTATCGTGAGCTGTGCCTTTAATCGGTAACACCGATATAACTTTGGCTTTCTTCATAATTCAGTAAACACACACTCAGGTAATCAATGGTACAACATTAACATTACAATAACTTTTACAATTTCAGTACCTTCAAAACAATGAGAACATACTTTACCATGGTCTGGTAAATCCATTGTATCATGTCAACCTACTAAAGCAATCATTCGTAAGCGTAAATAGTGTACTTTCCCCTCTTACAAGCTCTGCAGCTTCGGAATTGGACACCACGAGCACATACTGCATGGGTGCGATGTGGCAATCTGTGCACCCTATCCATTGGGTCTCCCTGGCGTCCGGCTCTTCTGGATCCATGTCGGGAAGGAGGGCAGGGTCCTCTTGGAAACAAACAGAACAAAAATAAAATGTCGGTGGGATCGAAGGGTATTTCCTCCAGTGTTTGAGTTTTGCTCTTCATTTCTCTCCGGAAGGCAGACATACGAAAACAGTAATGATGAACAAGAAAAGGTGAAAATGAGGGTAGCACATCAAAAGCACTATTTAAATAGGGAGTATTCGCGCGTTCATGAAGCGGTGCTAAGTGAGATGAGGACGGGCATCACCATGGGCTCCACTATTTACCTACCGATGCCTCTGGTGACAAATGAAAGTGGCTCAAATCCAAAAAATTAAGCTATAATGAAAAATTTACGTTAATCAGAACGCAAGCAACATGTGATGATTGTGACGGAGCGTGACGATAAATAACGACGAATAACTTAGACAAGGACACGCATACCCGAATACAAACCCGAATTAACAGTAGTTGGAAAAGGGAAGCGAACGAAAACAGCAATGAACAACAAGAAAAGATGAAAAAATAGGCATCAACACTCTTTACAACGCCGAGTTTAAACGAAGCGCCAAAATGAGGTTACAGTAAAGGGATGACGGCGTGGGTCCCACAACGAAATAGATATAAACGGCGGGAAGCTTGTCAAAAAACTCGTCCTGCAGTTCTTCAGGATGTATGTAAGTTTAGGCGACAGAGGACCAACTATGAGGAAAGACTGTGAGGATAACCCAGTGACAACTAAGAAGTATGCCACAAGGTTTGAGCTTGAATTGAATATAAAAGAGAAAACGTTATATCTATATAACGATCACATAGTTAGAAAAGCACCAAGAGCAGTACGAGAGCAAAGTAATATAGTCGAATGGGAAGACCACTTGTGGTCCTTGCCGCTGTTCGAAGTAACGAAAAACCTTAAATGATACGGGAATCACTTATCGTGAGTCCTGTATCATTTAAGGTGGTTGCATTCAGTAAGGAAGTCATCTCAGATAGTGAGACGACGAAAGGCTACATGAGGATCGTCGTTATCGACAACAACACGACTGAATAATAACACAAAATAAAAATAACATGAAGTGGTCAACCCGGATCCCGGATCGAAATTCTTTGTATAGGCCACATACCCATTCAATACGCCGCTACGATCTGAGTGTGCTCGAATGTGGTGGCGCATACTTTACACGGGATTGATCAACGTCTTAAGTCTTTATCTTTTAGCCGTTCTACAATGTGTTCAACGCTATTGGAAGACAGTCATTGTTTCAGGTGCCAAAAACTTATTTGGGTATGTTGGTTGGTTCAATTTGCGCTCTCATGGGCGTATTGACAATTGCTTTACCAGTACCTGTTATTGTATCGAATTTCGCTATGTTCTATTCGCATGCACAAGCCAGGTACGTTTCTTCATACCCTGGTTGCTACAACTCCTGACCCGACCCCGTCATCTAGATCCAAACTGCCCAAAAAGCGACGACGTGTACTGCAACCGCATGAAATCAAACCCATCGTTGGAAGGTCAACGACAGCAGTTCTGCTGAATTCTCTTGGCCCGAAACCTCCTGGTGTGACGAATATCAGCGACGGGATTGGTATGTTTCCATAGTTGTAACTGTAATTTTGATGCAGTCGCGCAGCTTTGTCTAGAAATTGAGCTTTGTGCCTCATTGGCTTTTCTAAAATGTAAAGTTTAGAAGATTGAGAGATTTCTTCGATTCTCAGTGATGATGCTTAGCCGAGATAAGCACTGGATAATACTACTTTGCGTTGTGACTTAGTGTAAATTAATTGGAACAGTTGACTTAAAAGATAATTAGCTGGTTGAATTATTGTCGGCTATTAAGGTCATTATGATCTCTATTATTTGGCCACATCTATAACCAGCTGTCCTTCTAGAGAGTGTCCATTGTGACACCTTGCGCCATAGTGTAATGAGTATCCTGAACCTCAATGACAAATTTATCTTTCGGTTTTTCTTAAGCGGTAGATCTTACTTGATCATGGTGACGTTTAACAGTATTAAAGTTCAGGAAACGGCAGATCCTCACGACGGCCGAGCTATGCTTAAGAGCACACCAAAACTTACTCGATCCTGTTACTAACATCTGCTCTGTTTGTATTTTTTTCTCTAACCGCACGTTTTTACGTTTATTTTCAGGAACATTCGCGGCCACACCACTTTTAGTGTGTCCGAATCCATGCAAGAACCTACGAAAAAGTCCCTCCAATAATGATGTGAACAAGGCTTCGTAGTATAGGTGTCGATCGCCCATAATATTCAGGATCGATGATTTCAAGATGCTGTTTATCTCTTTTTGAAATAATTTGAAGAGAGGTGATGTAATCTGATGCTGATGTAATCTTTCCACACTAAACGAATATTTTGCATTTTAACTTATCAGTCTTATAAGGCCCATTTGATATGTTACAGGATATTTCTGTCTCAAGCTCGTGACTTCCACCAGCAAGCAATCAGTTCATCGGTTCGCTGGAAATTTGGTGCCAGTAAAAAATTTCCGTGATCCTTGGAGTATAGATGGTTTAAAAGCGTCGAACCTGCCGATTCTCTTTGTTAATTAACTACCATCAAAGTTGTATCGAGTGCACTTTAGGTCAGCAGGCGGGTCCTCAGTGTCGTTTTCCCGTAGTGGAACGATTTTCCAAACTTTATTAATGTTTTAACATTCACCATTCAACATTCTTAGTGGGTGAAGGATGAGACGTGGCGCGCTCGCAATATGCATGGTCCCGGAAGCGTATTCCAGATTGTCTTTCTCCCAAGTCGAACAGCCCTCCACTCCTTCGAATTGGGTTACCTGGAACCACTCTGGAGCTTAGAAGCACTTACTTGCACATCATGACCACCGCATTTCGTTGTAAAGGCCGCATACGCATTCAAACTGCCACTACGATTCTGAATGGAAGTCGACTGCAGGGCGTCGACCGCATCCCGAACCGGGTATGGGTTTATCCACCCAATTCTGTATGGACTGCAGAATTCGTGGTGGATTAGACGACTCTGGGCCTGTCATTGAGGCGCAGGTTCTAAGTAGATTGGATAAGTAGAGCCAGATGATACTCTACTTCAAATTTGCGCCCCACCCCAATGATAGGCACAGGAATCGTTTAAATCACCAAGAACTCCGCTGCGTAATTTGCAGCGTCCAACTAGAATTGAGTGATGTTCCGTCTTTCCATTATTACCACCGCAAGTCATTGTAAAGGACCTATATGCATTTAAACTGTCACTACGATTCCGAATGAAAGTCGACTGCGGGGCGTCGACCGCATACCGAAAAAAGTTGTTGTTCAACGCTGAAAGACTGTGTCCTTTTACTATTCAGCATTTTGAATAAGTACTCACGTGAGACTAATGGCAGATTCTGAGGTATTCAGAAGCGAGGAACGACAACAGAGATCTAAAAATCAGTTCAAGCGGGTTTCAGTGTAAAAAAATGATATCCTAAATGTTATGGGCGATGATTTTATTTTTCAACGAATGTATGTGTATGTGATTGAATAGAAGTGATTTGGGTTTATGTTCGCTTGTTGATATCGTCTATACTGTTAAGTTCTTTCCGATTTTAGTGAAAGGTTTGTGAATCCTGGCATGCGTAAGAATGCATTTTTGCATGTAACTCGGTGTTAACTGCTAACCTATTGCCATTTGATGACAGATTACGTTGCTATTCACAGTGTACCTATCATCCTCGTTTGCAGTATTCAGGTGATGTGGTAATAAACACAAGCACACATGATTCAATTTTGGAACACTGTATAATACATGTAAAAATGTTGGATATCGATTGTGATAAAAGCTATTTTAAAATCTAGTGTACCTTGTTTTGTGAGAACTCATCTTTAATATCTGACAAAAAGGGTAAACGGGACAACACTAGGGATCCTCTCGCTGTCCTTTTTTCAAAAGTCCTACTTCCCGCTTCCTGATGGTTTCAATCCAAGAACTTTCCAAAACAACGAATTCTGAAGGGTGGAATAGGCTGATCTGTCACGACGGAGCCAAACTTTTGAAAGTCACACACAGCCCCACTGCTCCGTTCCCTCCAGTTTGCATCATTAATTACCGAAAGGGAAACCATCCGAATCGATTACTCTAAGTGTATACCATTATACGCTCAGAAGAAATTGTCTCAAAAATCACAACAAAATAGGTGAATGAAGTGGCTGCTACTAAAGGCACGGTTCATGATAAAAATGGTTACTGAGTTCTTTCACTAGAAAAACTCAATGGCCCCCAAGGGTAATAGAAAAGACCCCCTTCGCGCCCAAAAACTCGATGGTTAGGGCATAGTGGAAGCCCTATTACTGGTTCGCGTGACCTTCCCGCCTCTCGACCGATGCCACGTCAGAAGAGTGTCGAGACGATACAGATTGCAATTACTCGTTCTAGGACCCACACACAATCAGATGGTCGTCGAGTGATGAGGCGATGTTTTTCTCCCATTCTTTTTCCTCTGTTATTCTTTTTGCTGCCGCGACCCTTATTTTATTTCCTACACCTAGGGGCTGAAAAGGTGAGCTTTTTTGCTGTTACTAGGGCTTTTTTGTTTACTTATGCTTATAAGTGAGAGAATTTTTTGCTTACCGTAGCCAGTTATTTGCACCAGGACCCACACTTACGCAATGACCGACGCTGTAAAGCTCGTCCAAACGCCCCACTCTTCTTCATTTTTCTTGTTTCATTCTCGTCCAGCCCCTTTTTAATGATTTTTCGAAGCCTTTTTTTCACTCTGGAAACGCCGATTCATGCAGTTCCTCCGCCTTCATCGCACTATTTTTTATCTTATCTTCCATTTTTCGTCATAATCTGGATGGCCCGCGCAGTCTAAACTGCTAGAAACCGAAAAATGTATTCCAACAATTGGGACGAGGGGAAACATCAACATTAAAACGTATAGCGAGGCTGATGACTAATTGAATCCCGTCAGCCTTCAAAACTAGCTTGCAATCATTACCAGACAATGCTCCAAACTTCGGATTTTTAGGGAGCGTTCACAATACTTGCAAGTCTTCTTTCACTTTCCCATATACATAGTCACATATGCATTTCTAACCACGAGGGTTCCAATTCGAATGACTGTCTGGTTGACATTCCCAAATTATAGGGTGATCATAATTGTGGTGAAAAGGTGTTTAAATTGGCCAGAACAGAAATGTAAAAATTTAGTGGAGCCAACAATGTAACTATGTTTATCGGCTATTTACCAAAAGTGTAACTCCACAGAAGACTAGTGCAGTCTTTTAGGAGTTGACACAAAGAATGTGCCATACTCAACAAAACGCTCGTTTACACACGATGATAGGACATGATAGTAAATATCATCCCCAATACCTCCTTCCTATGTAGAATGTATCATATACATAACACATATGTATATGTCTTCTTCCTCCGCGTACTTGAAGACGATCGGCAGAACGGCGTCATCGGTTCATTCTGTCCAATACGTTGGCGGTTGCATTTCGATCCATAATTTCATCGCTGGGATTTCTGTGAGTTGCACTTCTTCGCTGTGCACTTCATTACACTTTTCTTGTGGATTTTCATGCCGGGAATGTTCACAAACTGTTTTCGTCGCTTCATCGGCGGCACTTCGTTGTGTTCTGGTTCGCATTTTGTTGGTGTGTCTTCTCCACAATTGCCCGTCTTCTGTCAAAACGTCGTACGATACTCGTCCATATTGATTTTTCAGAAGAACTTAAACAACATAATCAGACAAACCATACGTGTAAGCGGTTGCGTCGCGGTTTCGCGCTACAGCACGTTATTTTGGGGTGTCTTGGCAGTGCGGGAAGATTTTGATGACAGAAGACTTCCTCTATCATAACTCTGCTTATTGGCGGTTGCGTAGCGCGTTCGAACACATTATTCTAAAGTGATCACTAGTTGTAGAATGTAACTTTCGACAATCAATTAGCTGTTAAACTATCGTTTGGTAATGTATGTCCCTTTTCCTGCATTTTCCTTGTTCATGTTTCTTCCAAGACCATTGATGGGTAATTACCCTTCCCTAGTGAATGGCTAGTGAATACTGTTGTGTTTCTTTGTCTCGGCATGCTTCCTGGTTTGTGTTTCTTCTGAGACATCTGCTGAGTAATGACCTACACTGATAGAGTGTTGAAACCTTACTCAGAGGTATGCCAACGTCTGCACGATTGATTGCTACAACTCATCTAATCGAAAGAGGCTATGAATGGCGACGTTCAAACCAAAGAGAGGTTTGGAGAACATCCACGCGTTGTGTATAATCGACAGCGGCTGTGCAGAAAACAGAAAAGCTAATTAGATGGAAAATGAAACAAAGGCAAGGCATGAGGGCGCGAGGCGTTCTTGGTTAGGTTATAAACTCCATGATCATTTCTCTGCTCGCATATCGATATGCAGCAATTGAAAATTATTGAATGAATAGAATGGCAGCAGTGAAAAACCAAAACTTCAATAAAAACATTCCCATAATAGATGACTAAGAGTGTTGATTTTGTGCAAATAAAAAAAGCAATAAAGTCGCGGTTCGTAGCTCTACAAAATACTCGCTTGGTTTCGCAGTTCACCTTTCGCCTGTGCACAAAAACAGAATTCCCAACCAGCACTATTAAAACTTTTCC